GTTCTCTTACATATATATATATATGTCTACAAGAAAACTGCAAGCCGAGCAGAAGTGTAGGGATGTGTGCGTCCGACCAGCGGGAGCCTCCAGGGCCCGAGCTCGTGCGATCACGGCCCAGTACCTCTCCTGGCGAGGCGCGGCGAGGACAGAGCCACAAGGGAGCTGTACACATGTGTATGTGTTATATATATATATACATATATACATATATGCATATATATATATAGATAGACATATATATATATATATGTGTGTGTATGTGTATGTGTATAATATACCTATATGTATATATATATATATAGCATGAGATGGCATGCTATACGACAAGGCTGTGTAGAATAATGAACGCTCTCGCAAAGAACCCACCACAGCACTCATCATGCAGAGGTCCTAACCTGTTTCAATTCGGAGCACTCAGCACACTCATCATGCAGATCTCTGTGGCAATTCGAGGTCGCCTGAGTTTCGGCCTTGCGCTTCTCGATCTTCTCCTACACCGGAGCTTGCTGAGAACGCGAGCTGAAGCGAAGCATTCGCAATCTGTCTTCGATGCCAAAGTGCGAAAGCATGGCACAATAAGCCGGACGTCTGCAAAAGATGCACCCAGACCGCCCGAGTGTCAAACGAAATTGCAAAGTCTGACAACCTCCAACACTCTAATCCGATGAAGTCTGAACTCAGAAAAGGCTTTGTACCCTGAGACCCAAGCCAGAAACCCTAAACCCTGATAGATCTCCTTATAGAACCCCTTATAGTTTTCTTATGGATCCCTTATAAAACCCCTTCTAAACTTGACTTTTGAACCCCCCCCCCCCTCCCGCTTTTTCGCCCTGGCCTGGGCCCTCCGCCCAAGGGCACTCTCCTCTGGGCTGGCCTTCGGCCACACGCTCGGGCTTAGGGCTACAGATGCAATGTCTGATCTTACTCATCTTAGGTGCTATGCTGTCTTGTGCCATGCACTTTTATGCTGTGATATCTCAGGTTATGATTTGTATGATGATCCCTCGTTCTTCTTATCTACAATGGATACTGTCTTGTAGTTCAAGTCTATGATAGATCATGTATAACATCCACAATGGATCATAATATAAGGGTACAGTAACCTCTGCGATGTTCACAGTGTCCGTTTCAGTCGGCTTTTACGGCTACAAGGTCAGGAGCTGAATGAAGGTAACGGGGAGTGTCACGCAGGGGCAAAGTTGCCGGGAAAGCCTGGCATAGAAATTGAGGCTCTTTCGCTTTTGTCGAAGCGAAAGGTCCTGTCTGGCTGTGTCTGCTTTCAGTTTGAAGGCTCAGGAATTCTCAAGGAACCGACAGTTGACCTCTGCAATATCCTGCGGGGACTTGTTGACACTTTCCTGCAAGGATCCAATGCACCAGTAAATATGTACCGAGGTCGTTGGCCCGTCGCTCCGAGAATCCACCCCAAGAGTCCACGCTTTGCTCGCATGTGAACAGGGTGTTGCCTGGAGCCCTTCCCTCTCGTGCAGCCCCATGTACCTTCTTCTAATCTTGCCGGTGGCTGGCTTTACATTGTAAAGCTCTGCCCCGTTCTTCTGTTGTCGTGGTTTTCTTCTCCGGATTTAGGAAATGGAAACCTGCACAGAAGCACGAAAGCCTGACAAGCCTGAATCAGAGCGACCCAGTCACTGGAGAGGCTGGAGAGGCATCAGTACATTAGCTGATCATGGGCGTGCCGAGTTGAATTA